TTGCAGATAAATAAATGGAAGTATGACAAATGTTAAGATTGAGAGACTATAGCATATAGGAGGGCCTTTTAATTCAGCAGTGGGAAATCAGAAAGGCACCCTGCAGACAAAACTGCCTGAGCTGTGAAAGATGAAACAGGGGTGTTGGTCTGAACACAGTAATGAGAGGACTTGGATTCAGACACAGGAGGAGAGGTGTGGAGGTGAAGATGTGAGAGGATGGGGTGATATTCTACAGATGCAATTGATTTCCATCCATGGCTTGAGGACACGAGTTACACAATGAAATTTCATTTACGTCCCAAGAGTGAGGTTGGACTTTGTTCTATTTGGACTAATGAGACCCATCCATTACATGGTTTGAAGTGAGTTCTGAGAGAGTTTACCTGAGAGAAGCTTCTACTTTCACATTATTTTACACTATAGGTTTTTAATAGTTTGTACCTTACACCAGAAAAAAAGAATTGCCATAGATATGGATGATAACACTATGAATCCAGAACTGATTTCAAAATCTAACCAACTAAATGAGAAGATATTCAAAGCTAATGAGATTATCCCTGTATTTGACTGCCATGGGTGGCAGATACTTGGTTCTCTTTGTAGAAAAGGACCTATTACTCATTAATATTCTCAATAAAAGAGGACCCTGGACAAACCAAGTCTGTCAAAGACTAGGTCATTTTATTCTAGTGACATAAAAGCCACTTTTCTGGGCTGAAAATGTGTTCCCGAAACCTATTTCACAGTCTCATCCCTAATAACTCCTGTGACTTTAGGCTGAAGGGCCTTAATGGGACCTTAGGGAAGGACAGTAGAACTCTGAGAGAGAAAGTGTAGGCTGTTATAAAAATACAGCGTGGTATTCAGTTTGAGGATATTTTTTACTTACAATATAGCATGTATTCTGTTCGAGTAAACTTGCCTCTAACATCCATTGGGTCCATAGGAACAATTGTACAGTTATAATATAGAGATATCATAGTAAAGTCATGGAAGATAGGAGAGATACGCGAGAGAGTGAAATAGAAGAGTCAGACACATCTTTCGGTAGCATGCTCACCTCCAGGATGACCATGATCTCAGCAGCTAGGTCCGAGCAGAGTGCGGGAGGACAGGGAGGGAGGAGAGAGCGTATGCCTTTATTTCTGACCAAGGCCTATGTATACTTAGGGGTGTGATTACAGGTAACCCCACACATCACAGGAAGGGGCTGTACAATAGGCATACACGTCACAGGAAGGAGGTGAGTGAAGGGTGTACACGCAATAGGAAGGGGAGGGATTAGGGGTACACATGTGACAAGATGGGAGGACCCTAGACTCAAGATGATAGCCTAACCTTGGTCATCCTTGAGTGGGCTCAACCTTCTTTCTGGGCTCTCCTTCAGGGAGGCCATCACTATCCATATCAGAAGGGAGTGGGTCCTACTTAGGGTGGGACAGACTATAAAGTCTGATTGCTCTAGATCACCATAACCCTCAGGGAGGAAACCTGTAAGCAGCTTGCGTTGACCTCCAAGTGTACAGTCTTTTACCATGTGTAGCAAGAAGCGGCAGGTTTGGCAGATATTTGGGAGTAACAACCTGGGGAAAAACTCTTTTGCATTCCACAGTATTCTTCTTCTTCTTTTTTAAACCATTTTATTGGGAGATCTTACAGCTCATATCACCATCCATCCATCCATTGGGTCAAGCATTTTTGTACATATGTTTTCATCATACTTTTCAAAATATTTTCTTTCTACTTGAACTATTGGTATAAGCTCCTTATTTTTGTCCCCCACCCCTCACCCTCCTTCCCTCATAAACCATTGATAAATTATTATTATTTTCATATCTTACACCATATGCTGTCTCCCTTCACCCACTTTTCTGTTGTTTGTCCCCCTGGTGGAGTGGTGGTGGTGGTGGTGGTGTTGTTATATGTCGATCATTGTGATTGGTTCTCCCTTTCTACCCCCACCTTCCCCTACCCTACTAGTAGCACTACTCTCATTATTGGTCCTAAGGGGTTTATCTGTCCTGGATTACTTGTGTTGTGAGCTCTTATCTGTATCAGTGTACATGTTATGGTCTAGCCGGATTTGTAAGGTAGAATTGAGGTCAGGATAGGGGGTGGGAGGTGGGCGGGGGGAGGAAGCATTAAAGAACTAGAGGACAGTTGTATGTTTCATCAGGGTGCACTATCCTTCTTATAAACCAAAAATGCACTGCCATTGAGTAAATTCTAACTCATAGTGGTCCTATAGGTCAGAGTAAGACTACCCCTGTGGGTTTTCAAGTCTGTAGTTCTTTTTAGGAGTACAGAAACTCATCTTTCTCCTGAAGAGCACTGGTGATTTCAAACAGTTGATTTGTAGTTAGCATCTCAAAGCACAACCCACTATGCCAACAGGGTTCTTTCTATAGGCCACTGCTAATAGTATTCTCCATGAAACCACACCCTTTGTTGGAAGAGAGTAACATTTGTTTTCTGGGAATTTAATGATAAGATCAATGCATGAAAGGAACCCTGGTGGAGTAATGGGCTACATATTGGATTACATAAGGTTAGCTGTTTGAATTCACCAGTCACTCTGAGGAAGAAGAATGAGGCTTTCTACCCCCATAAAGAGTGACAGTCTAGGGAACCCGCCAAGATACAGGGCTCTAGGGAACCCTGGAGGTCACTATGAGAATTAACTTGATGTTAATTTTTGATTGTTAAAATCTATGCATGGAGGAGCCCTGGAGGCATAGTGGTTGAGTTGCGCTGCTAACCTCAAGGTCAGAAGTTTGTATCCACCAGCAACTCTGCAGGTACAAGATGAGGCTTCCTGCTCCCTTAAAGAAGAAACCCAGGGGCAGTGCAGCTCTGTCCTAGAGTATCCATGTAAGTCAGAATTGATGGCAGTGTGTGACTGAGTAATCTCTGGAATTCCAACATGTGGTATACTTCATTTTTGCCATTCTAGAGAGCTTTTACTTCATGTGATCTGTGTAACTCTAGAGTTATACAAATGAAAATGATGGTGATGACATAGTGGTTGAGGGGTTCAATCCCACCAAGAGACACCATGGAAGATGCCCTGACAATCTGTGTTCCAAAGTTTACCCCTTTGAAAGCCCTAGGAAGCAATTCTACTCTGCACATATGGGATCCTTAGTGTGTTGGAGTCAACTTGACGGGAACTGAGCAACAGCCACACTGACCGTTTCAATGCTCTGTCTGTTTCTATGGACTGCTATGTACATGCTTAGATCATATCATATAGAAATTAAGGGTCTGTTCTCTTGATTGAGAAGCGCCTAGCTCAGAGGCCAGTTCTTCCATTTGCCAGCTCTATAGCCTTAGATTAAATTCATTCACCTTCTCCAGCTTCAGTTTTATGATCTGTAAATTGGACATATTAATCGTAACTGTTTCAAGATTCAGTGTAAGAATTTACTAAAATAGTGAGGATTGCTTTAACTGTCTTTAACAATTTGTGAGCATTTTATTCATTAGTTTATCTGTCAACTAATTAAAGTGTAACTATTAACTGTTAAATAGTTAAACTGTTAAATAGTTAAAGTGTTCACTAATACATTATCTGCTAGTTATTGCCCATTATTACCTACTAGATGATTTGTTTGACTAATTATGAACAACATTCTCTTTCCTTTTTTGCTCCCCTAGGGATATGAAGCCTGACAATATTTTACTTGATGAACATGGTAAGTTAAAGATTTGTTTGCAATCAACTACTTGCTATGCATGTATAACAAATTGATTATTCCTGATAAAGACTTAGGAAAGGGTGTCTTGTTTGGCTCTGTGATGTGAATAAACCTTATTTGATGGGTGGGGAGGGCCAACAGGAGAGAACTTTGCTTTTGAGAGAGAGCAATGGGCCGAGAACACAAGCATACATAGCCTTATTAACACTGTATTTACACACTGTGAAAGCCCTTCTTTTTTCAATTTTGTTTCATGCCAACTGGTGTCTTTGAGAAAAGTGTCACTGTTGTCTGGTGTTGGTTTGTCTTTATGACATTTAATCATCTCTCTTTTTTCATGAAGACAGAAGATGACTCAAATGTTGTGTCTACTGACAAATCAGTGACATGGTTTCGTCCCACTGCATCTGCTCTTCAGCTTTCCTTCTTAGGGGGACCAGGGATCTTACATTTTCAAAATGAGGTCAAATGGTCTCTCCCAAACATTTTCAGTTGAATTAAGACAGTCAGTGAAAAGAAAAAATATATATGATGTAGATAACATCAGACTATTATCCTCTGATATGAGAAATATAGGGATATAGCAATAATCCTGAAGGTGGCGGGTGAATGGCTGAAGCTTTAGAAACATTGATTAGTTATTCTGTGGGGCAGGTTTTTGTAAACACTGTTTAAATATGACTAGTCCCTTCCTAATTTTCATTATTTTTTTTAAATTTTCATCATTTTAATGTACATTTGGATTTATTGGTCCTTCAGGGAAGACCTCTGAGACACAAGCCGGCATCTTGTAATGCTACAGTGGCAGTACAATCCTTGTGATGTATTTTAAAGCTCCTCAATGAGGGTGAAACGAATCTGCAAAAGCTCCTTATGCATTTGATTCTTACAGAAGGGATTTAGAAGTGGGACTAAACTCCAAGTCTCATCCACTGCTCATCATTCATTTATTTCGTTGATTTTTAAATCCAATTTGCCAGGCTCCACCTGTGCTCAGAGGGCTAAGCAACACTTTTGGGTATGACCTCTAATTCCGAAGCTCAGGGTCATCATTTATTTATGGACTGTCTAAAAGATGTTTTCCACTTTCTTCCAACGCCTCATTTCTTCCCTCTCTTTACTGCTTCTGACACTTGGGAGCAGAATCTCTGAGTCGCAGAAATGTGAGCAATGTGAGACATAGCATGAAGGTGACTTTCATTGAAACAGCAGCTCTCCCAACCTTAGACAGGAAGCGGGACCACTTCTCACAAATAAAGACTAGTGAGCTTGACAGCTGTGAAGCGGGTCTATGCTAGCTTATGATGCCTGCCATTGAGTCGATCCAGCTCATGACAACTCTATCAGACAGATTAGAACTGTTCCATGGGGTTCCAAGGCTGTGATCATTATGGCAGCAGATTGCCAGCTTTTTTCTCCTGCCCACAGAACTGTTGGGGGGTTTGAATGTTGCCCTTATGGTTAGCACTCCCACACTTAACCATTGACCAGCCACCAGGGCTCCTGCCCTGGCTTTTAAAGAGTACATTTTCACAGCTTAGATAAGATGTTCCCTCTTCGTAGTCTTGCCTTATGGCCATATATGGCTAGCCAAGTATAACCCAGGTTGGAGTTCATCCTCAATTGCCCTTTCAACCAGGTGTCTTTCTGGGTAATGCCTATTCAACTGATGCTTTAACAGGGCATGAATATAGTCATATAGATTCCATCAATCAAAACCCGTTCAAAAGTAATCTCTCAAACCAGTTTTCAGGGAATCCACTCTGACTCAACAATCCCATATGTGTCAGAATAGAACTGTGCTCCAGAAGGTCTTAATGGATGATTTCTCAGAAGCTAGTTGCTATTTAATTTGGACTTGAAGCTCCAAATTTCATTAAGTAGCCCGAATTTTTAAACATTTGCACCACTAAATGTACCTGCTTTATATAGTATTTTAATATTAGGTCTCCTCAGACATAAATTCATCTCATTTTTACCATGAGGTTATTCTATTGTCTTTCATTAAATATCTTTTTCTTCTTCATTTTCTTGGTCACATTGGTGATTATAGATTACTAGAAAGCTCAAGAAATCTAGTATCATCTCAGAAACTCCCCTCATGAAAGATTAAGGGTGTAATAGGTTTAGAAAGGAGCCCTGATGGCAAAATGGTTCAGTACTGATACGCTAGCTAAAAACGTTGGCCATTAGAAACTCTCTCAGCAGCTCTCTGGGAGAAAGACCTAGAGATTTGCTCCTATGTCACATGAAGCCACTCAGAATGAGTTAAAAATCTATTTATTTAACAGAGAGGCTCTCATCTACACTGGGTCAGGATAACAGTTAAACTTGGAACTATTTTATGGTCTTTATTTTTTGTCTCTCTCTCTCTCTCCTTTTGGTGTCTATCTGTATAAGATAAGCAGGATAAGCAACCCCAAGGAGACAGTGATGAGACCGATGATACTGGGCGAAAAATTGGAGGGAAGGAGGCAGGGGGATGTGAGTGGTGAGCCAATAACAACAGGGACAGGGGACTAGCTAGGGTTCTAAAATTGATGGTGACGAGGATGTAGCATTCCTTGTCAGTTTTGATTTAATTGAAAGGTATCCAAGAGGAATTGCTGATTGGTGAATGATGGCTTAACATGATAGTGGGGCAAGAGGAAATAAAAAAGAAAAAGAAGAAAGAATAAGAAAGTAAATATTATATAGAGAGATTTAAATATAGATATATATGTAAATATATAAATATACAAAGATAAGTGTATTGGTCTATGTCTATGTACAAGGAGGTAGATGGACTTTAGGCTTCCACTTAAATCTTACCTCAGTACATGAATGGCTTGTTCTAATAATATGGCACTGTATAATACTCACCTTCCTGAAATGATCCTTAAAGACAAAATGGGTGCACAAGCAAATGTGGTGAAGAAAGCTGATGGTACCCGGCTATTAAAAGATATAGTATCTGGGGTCTTAATGGCTTGAAGTTAAAACAAGTGGCCATCTAGCAGGGAAGCAACAAAACCCACATGGAAGAAGTGCACCAGTCTGTGTAATCATGGGGTGTCAATGGCAATAACTATCAGAAGTTCAAAAATAAGCAATTAAATTGATGTGGAAGAGTGTGGACAAAGTGGAGATCCAAAACCCACCTGTAGGATAATTGGTAGTTCCTCACAGAAGGTCCACATGGAAGACATGATAAATCTAGGGAGAAGTAATGCACTGATGAAACTCTAGTTCTTTAATATTTCCTCCACTTTCTATTATGGTCTTTGTTTTACCTCATTTATCTTGTTAGACCTGTGATTGTTCATTTGTATAATTAAGATTTCTCAGTGAACGAAAGGCAAGATGGATAAACCGTCAGAAGCAGTAATGGGAGTAATGATTCCCTGAGGGCACAGGAAGGGAGGAAGGGGGAGAAGAGGGAGCTGAAAGCAATGATGACTGTATAACCCCACTCAAGAGGAACGAATAACAGAATTTCAGGTGAATTACATTGGATGGTGTAAGATATGACAAAAATATAATAATAACAATATAATATAATAATATGGGTTCTTGGGGGGTAGGGTGAGGGTGGGACCATATCAAAGAACCCAAGAAGAAAGAAAATGTTTTGAAACAGATCGTGGTAGTAATTGTACAATTATATTTGATTTCATTGAATTATGGACTGCTATAATATTTGTAAGAGCTCCCAATAAAGTGATTAATAAAAAGAAAAAGAAAGAAAATTAATTCAATGGCACCCAATAATAGCAATTAGTAGTAAGAATGTGGTTTCTGGAACCAGATTGCCTGGATTCAAAACCTAATTCACAAGATCAATAGCTGTGAGAGTTTCTACAAGTTTACCTAATCTTTCTTTCATCTTAGTTTACTCTGGAATTTAAAAATGTCTGCTTCCTTCACTGCCATGGAGTCAATATAAACTGATAGCAATCCAATAGGACAGCATCGAACTGTTCCTTAGGGTTTACAAGACACTAAATCCCTTGGAGCAATTGGTGGCTTTGAACCATTGATTTTGTGGTTAGTAGGCCACCACTTATGCCATTGTACTACCAATCTACTTCTCAGAGACATTATAATCAATAACTGACAGAGTAGCCATAAAAGTGATTAATAATGCAGGTTCTGCCACAGAGAAATCACTCAGTGAATGTTCAATATTAGTATTATTCCCATAAGGTAATGTTGGCTTTCTCTCTGAAGACAGAATGCTGGAACTACTTCACCTTGTATGATGTCATTTTGTCCTAATCAATTTATACCAGATATGTACTGAATAGATAATTGTGTTTATAATTATCAGATAGATAAGTGTCTATCTGATAATTATATATGATTATCTATCTGATTATTATAATAGTTAGATAGATAATTGTATCTCCCAAAGGATTATTTTGATTCCATAAGGAATATGTCAAAGGTTCTCCTGTCTGCTTGCTAGACCTCGTGTTCAAGCAATTCTGTTTAGCCTTTGATCCTCAGGCCCAATGGCCCATTTTGTTTTTTTCTTCATGTGTGCAAGGGAATAAGGCCATTTTATGTTGGTGAGGCCGGAACCCTATTACTAGGGAATGGGACCAGTTATCCCAGTTTATATTCTGCCTTTCTGTGAATTATTAATATTGTCCCATTTAACTCTGAAGGTCTTCTGATTGGGACAATGAATTAAGAGACTCTTTCCATATTATGTCCCCACCCTGAACTTGTGAGAACACTATAAGTAATAAGAATAAAACTATGTTGAGAAAGTATGGTCTATGTGAAATGGAGTTGAGAATCACTCTCTAAACATTGCTTTAGGGATCCCTTTTCAGAGGAGAAAATTGTTTTGAAGTTTTATGCTTTCGGTTCATTCAGCGCCTACAAAAGCAATGGTTCTCAGGCATTACTTTGGGGCCATCATTAATGGATTAGTCTGGGTTGACTAGAGAAACAAATCCAGACACCCATATGTGCAAAGAGAGAACTTTACATCAAAGAGCAATTGTATA